ATCGAGCAGGGTTCGAAACGATCGCAAAGGCGGTATACTACGTATACGCGCCAAAAGTCAAGACTCCCATTTATTCAAGCAAGCATGAAAACTCGTAGATCAGTCTCTGTAACAGTGCGCACGTGTTTCTGTAACGCTCCTCAAATCTTGGAATGCACGCCAGTTAAACGCGGAAATTATTTTGTTGCAATATATAGATATGTGCAGAATGCTCTCAACTACCTAATGAAACAGTGTTTTTTTGCAAAATTTTTGAGCAAAGTGAACTTTTTTCGCAAATATAAGTCTGATTTGTGCCGGTTCAGATTGAGATTACGTAAGATATCAATGTGACGATGAAGACCTCGTAGCATGGCGGTCATGTATCTAGAGTTCAATATCGTTATCTTCGGTCAACATTGGAATTTCGCGTTATCACCATAGTACGCGCGGTGACCCAGCGATAGTGCGAGTAATCGATACATTCGAGCAATCGACGAAGCGAACAATCGATACGGTCGACCGGTGACAGTGGCGCGGAGATACTGTAGGTAAACAAACACATCCTTCAAACGTGATAACAGTTGTAAACAACTCCAGCCAGGATGGATATAGCTGAACTCTCCAACCTATTAGACAAATTGAGAAATGAGCTGAAAGCGGACATGGAACAAGTAGTAACCAAAGCCATTGACCGCAGAGTTGAGCAATTACAGCAAAGTCAAGAAAAACTGTATGGTGATTTGAAGAAAGAAAATGAAATCTTAAAAGTTGCGCTTGAAAAACAAAAGCAAGTGATAAGTGATATGAACCGAATGAATAATGTTGCTTTCCATGGACTAGACAAAAATGTAGTGGAAAAACGTGTAGATCTAGAGAACAAAATCGTTGCAGTATGCAAGGATAAACTCCAGGTTGATATGGGGCGCCATGATGTGAATTGGGTTCGGCGTCTCAGAAAAAGAGGGAAACAAAAAAATCGACCAGTGTTAGTGTCTCTTGTCGCAAACAGTAAAAATTGGGACGTCTTAGAAATTTCAGTAAAATTAAAAGGCTCTAATATTTTCTTATCAAATGACTATGATGAAGCTGCCCTGCAAACAGACCCAGAATGTTAAATATTCGCGGAATATTTTGAACGGAATATTCT